ATTTCGCAGCAGCCGCACCAACGCACAGAAGCTGTGGAGTTGACCAATCAAAACTGATGTTTGGCAATCCGAATTCAGACTCGAATCCAGGTAAATGCCCAGAAACTTTATATCGGTAATCTCTGGTATTGATCCGCTACTGCAACGAACCAGCAGCGACTCACCCCTGGCAGATGATTTACTGAACGTGACAAGTCCAGTTTTATCAGCATTCATTCTTAATGCATAATTCTTGCACCAATCCTGCATGGCCCCCCACTGCACAAGAACAGGCCCCGGACAACCTAGACATGTCCGGACGCAGTCAGCTCAATAGTAGTGTCATCCGCATACTGGTAAATCAGACCTTCCATAAATCTGCCACAAAGGCCATTCACATAGAGCAGGAACAACAACGGTCCCAGAATTGACCCCTGCGGCACACCCTGTTTAATCAAGGTTACAGATGAAAAATGCCTAACAGCAGTCTGAGTTATACAGACAGGCTGCTCCCTACTGTCAAGATATGATTCTATAAGCTGTGCACATTTACCTCGTATTCCATGTTTACTCGTAGAAATTATAAGGAGTATTTGATGGTCTATCGTGTCGAAGGTCTTTGACAGATCAAAAAACAGACCGGCCACTTTTTCATTCTTATCCACATTTTCAACAATAAAAGTAAGAACCTCAAATAGTGCGAGTTGTGTGGAATGGTTTTGGCGAAAGCCAAATTGATTTCTAGTTAAAATGTTGTATTTCTTGATAAAGTTCATTATCCTTGAATATATGACCTTTTCGAAGACCTTTGGCACAGAAGACAACAGTGAGACTAGTCGATAATTAGCTATGTCATGCATCATCTCCTTTTTTGTAAATGGGGACTGGTTTGGCCGTCTTTAAATGTGATGGGAAAACTCCTGAAACAGACATTCATTAATAATATTAGCTATTCGCATATATAGTCAGATATCTGCTTTAGAACTACGACCGAGATTTCATCCAAACCAGCTGAAAATTTGTTTGGCAAACTGGCCAAAGTTAGTTTAATTTCTTTTTTGTCAACAGGGAGCAAAAATAAAGTGGGAATCGCACTAGCTTCCGAAATATCAAGACTGCCATGGGATTGCGGAGAGATATCAAACCTTTCCTGAAAGGCATCAGCAGTTTGTTGGGGATCTTTTATTATTACACCATTATTAAGTTTTAGCTCAATGGAACACTTTAGTTTTTTATTAGTTTCTGCATTTAAAATACTCCACGCAGTTTTTGTCGTGTTTTTTGAGTTTAATATTTTATTTTCATTTAAAGCTATTTTGTAATTCGACAGAAATTTCCGGTATTCTTGTCGTTCAATTTTATACTGATTATATACTCAAGGCTATGTGCAATCTTAGACCAAACATACAAATCTTTTATATAATTATTAATAGTATCTCATCATTTACCCATTTTTGTTCTTTGAATTTTAATCGATAGGTATATAATGGAAAAGAAATGTCAAAATAGTGAAATAGTATGTTAAAGAAGGTTTGATGTTTCTTCTCAACCCCTACTTGACCCATATACATTATTCCAGGACTCTGAGCTTAGCAGATCTTTGAACCGCTGGATGTCTGTGGCCACAAAAAAACTTTTCCTTGCATAATTGATGTTAGAAACCCTGCTATTTAATGTAAAATTAAGGAACTGACCATAGTGGTCTGATATATTTATTTTTATAATGCTACATTGTGTATCAGGTATATTGCTAAAAATATTATCAAGCTGAGTACCCCCAGTGTAACCTATCCTCGTTATGCCTGTCACGTTGGACACTAGTCCATAACTAGTCATAAGCAGAAAAAGCTCCATCATACTGAACTAACCCCGCAAACTGACAGATATTTGTTTGGGACATACACAATTTAAAACATTATCAAGCGCAGATAGAAATACATCTAAATCCCCTGTACGTGACCTATATACACAAATCGCAATATAATGTTTATTATTTAATATAAATTGGGAAATGCAATACTCACAGTGCTTTTTAATACACTCAGTGTTAGCCCTTAAACTTTCAACAGTAAGGTCTGAGTTTACAAAAATGGCTGTACCTCCACCACGAAATTATAGGTATATTCTTTAATTCACCGGTTGAGCTACCGGTGCAACCGGTTAGCCAAGTTTGCGTCCTTTAATTTCCAACAGCATCCACCGACGTTCGGGCTCGGTTGATCCACGATATTCTAACCTCTACATTTTATCCTTTTTTGATAACTACAGTTTTATGTGAAAGAAATGGAAGAAGAAAAGATTGAAGTTATGCTACAGCATAGGAGTGGCGTGAAATTTAATGTTTTTTAACACAATTCGAAATAAATAGAGCATCTGAAGGCAAGTGATTTTATCTTGAGATATGCATATCTGAAAATTTGGTCTTTCTCTCAACTGGATAACTTCTTCATCCGAATCGCTTAACAAATGTTCCACCACAATATCAACTGCTGCGTACATTGCCATAATGATTTTAAATGATACGGAGTTCAAATTACCAAGTAACCATTCACGATAAAGCAAATGTTAGGTTTTCTCGTATGACAGCAACCTGAAGGCTAAAAATGCGTCTTTTTATTAACCACCATACAACGGAACCGGTTGCTGACGTCATCACATCAGCAGTCAACCGTAAGTCCACCGGATCCATCAGTGATAGAATCAACCGGTGTTCGTGATGAATGGCTGATAGGCATATAATTGTCTAAAACTACAGAGCTTATATCATTTCGCTGCAGCCAATGCTCTGAGACACAAAAAATGTCTGGTTTCTTTTCTGCAGGCAGAACTTTTATTTCCAAAATTTTGTTATTCATACTTTGTACGTTCAAGTGCATAACAGACATACAATTTCCTATGTAGAGGGTGTTTGGTGGTCGCAGGGTACATTAATTACCCTGCATGACTTCTGTCTAAAGAATGTCTACCCAAAACAAAGTTAAACCTTGCAAATGCAACACCCTTGGGCCAAAAAGCGGTATAACTACTATCGGTATTAATTAGCGCTACAAAGGAACAACACCTCAGTAGGAATCGATTATCGATTCCGATGGGCTCAATTCCTAAACCCGAACTCAATTGTTCGGATACCAGCACACACGTAACCAGTGTTGCCAAACCCACCGATTTTTCGGTATTTCTACCATTTACCGAAATACCACGATTTTTTTAAATAACTCCAGATGTTTAACGAAAAGGAGCTGAAACTCAAAAAAAGACTACAAAAATGTTTTTGATATTGTTTTATACAATTTCCGATGTCCTATTGGAAAATGTGTATGAGTTGGACAATAAGTGGATCCAGACTTGAATTTGAAACATTTTGTGACCTGCGAAGGAGTAATTGACAGAGTTTGTGAGTTTTGCTGCCTGTAATGTTTCATAGTTTTTTCTCTCCTCTACATCGCTAAACCTTTTCTCACGTAATCTTCAACTTTGTTTAATGCTAATTTTAGTCTCTCATTCATCTGTGATAAATTTAACAGTAAAATGGTTTCCTGGCCTAAGTGCAAAGACCGTCAATACTCCAAAATCCACGCTACAATCATTACCTTGTAGATAGTTCTTCATTTGGACTCGCTGGAATTAAGAGCGTTATTGCGACTATTCTTAATGCGGTAGCTGCTGAATTCGAATCTGAGTAGTATCGTTCCTTTCAAACAGTTGATTCAAATACAACCCGCTTTCAACAGGTTAAGCGCCACGGCGGACACCGGTGTCCGATTTGTGATAAGCCTCCTGGGCCACGGCGGACACCGGTGTCCGCTTGGTTTTCAAATGTTTATCATCTCCTCCCGGCCAGGCGGACACGCTTTTATGCAGTTTGGCGTAGTAACATGTCCGCCATGGCCCTGCCACATAAAACGCTGACACCAGGTTTTATGTAGCAATGTTTTCCAGAGAAATCTGGTGATATTCCTATTGTAATATCACGCCCAGTTTCGGGAATTGGAATCGAAGCCATCGGAATCGAAGTCCTTGGAATCGCTATCACAACCACTGAAATCGATTTTTTCGAGATGATTGGAATCGATTCCTTTAATTCCCTCTGGGACATCGTTCCTCTGGGAGGAGTCGTTCAGATCCGACCCAGCTCTACTGATCAGCATTTGTTGTGAGGTTTGTTCCAACAATCAGTTCCGAACTAGTACAGAACTAATTTCGAATAATTTTTATGCGCCAGCCCGAGGTAAGTACAGTTCAGAACTATAATAGTTCCAAACTATTCTGTTAGGATGGAGTATAATATTGTTGAATTTTGTATGTTAGACGTGAAATAGAGATAATTTATTGTTTCTTAAGCACTGTAAAATCCTTTTCAAAAATTGGAAAAACGAGAGGAGAGTTTTAACTAGAGATGAGAAGCTCGGTGCAATATTTTAAAGAAATAGTACGTCTTTGTCTTTTTGTCTTTTTTAAGTTGGAAAACTCAATTGTTTTGCCTTTGCTGCAGTAGCAGAGGAGGCAATCAAGCGGCTCAAGATCATTATCTTCACTTCAATCTGCTCCAAAGTAATATTCATCACCCATTTTTCGAATATGTGTAATAAATGGCACACTAAGCGGTTAAGATGCAGGTTTGATACATGAGGTTCAAAAGTTAGAAAAGGCGCAAAGCGGCAGCCACAAAATCCAGCTCTCCAGCTATGATTGACGCTATTTATACCGTATATGCGCATGCGCTAACAAATTCGAACTTTTAGTTTTCCTTCAGAACCAGAACTGTTAGAACCAGTCCAGAACCGGTTCTAAATCAGTTCGAAGAATTTGTTGGAACAGAGAACAGCCAGTTACGGAATCAGTTCCCTTTTTTGTTGGAACGGTAATATAGATCTGCGCATGCTCTATTTAGTTTAGAACTAGTTACTACTGTTATTTATCTATATTATAGTTAGGATTTCATATCCTTTTCGCGGCTCTGGTTTTTTCGCTTCTTCAGTCCAATATCTAAGTATCTTTACACCTGTATCTTTTTTTTTCAGGTTATGCAATGAAAACAAGGCAATAAAGTGTCCCTTCACGTGAAGACCGATGCAAAAAACAACACGCCCGAAACGTATTATTATGAATCATAAAAATCTCGGACAATGTTTGCGCCAAACAACTAATAAAACGAACTCAAGCAAAAATTCGCGATGTGTTATTTCCAAACAGGCTCAAAAAACATGCAAGGAAAAAGAGAAAGTCACCGACGAACAACGCTTGTCTACACTATAGGTGTTCCATGTATGGTACCACCTGAAAAAAAAAACGTAAAAAGGAAAATACAAGAGAAGCGGATGCGACACATGGGTAACGCCTAGCAGGTTATGCGCTTTTAGGTTATGGACATATACAAGGTATCCCACGTAGAACCGCCGGCCGTGATCGGTCACTCAAAAAGTTGACGTCAGTCAGTTATGCTATAACTGATGGAAGCAATTCCCCTAAAATATTTTTAAAATTGTGGCACTTTCCGTTGTACCAGAAGTAGATACCTACTTGTTTATTTTAAACAGAACACTATGTCTTATTCATTTTTTAAATTCTACGCGAGATTCTAAACAGATTCCATGTATGCCATCCTATACCCAAGTCTAACCGTTTCTAATTTTGATAAAAAAATGTCAAATGCATGCCTATAAATTATAATAATTTCTTCTCGTATGTTTACCTTTGCCACATGATTTGTATCCAGTTTCTTAAAGTATAGTAGGGATCCTGTTTAATTCCGAATTTGGATAACATATAGTACAGGGTGGTCCAAAAATAGAATGTAAATTAGGTATCTAGGTGTTTATTTAGCTTTAAGGTACAATATTACATTACAGGAACATATATATCACTTGGATCTAAAATGGTCCTTAACACGGGTATTATGTATATTGAAAAGTGACGTTATATCGATTTTTCTGACATTATACTGGGTTTTTTTGGCATTATGTAGGTTTTTCTTCAAGATGTTAACTTAGCACTTAGTTGTACGTATTGCCTAAACGTCATAAGGCTTCAGTTATCAATGTTTGGCTCTGATGTGATGTAAAATCTGCTTCAGATATGGCATTACTGAAGGTCTAAGCTATAAGTTGTATGTGTCGATGATAATTCCATTGTATTCTTGTCTCAAATACACTTACTTGAGATTCAAAGCTAGAAATTAGTTGCACATCCACTTTTTCTTATCCGTTCTGGAAATTACATATGCAAATTTGCTGAATTTCAAAAATGAGAGAGATTAGAAATAATTATATTCACTGTACACTGACGAATTACAAGCCATATACATGCTAACAGTAATTACAGATAACCTCAAAGTTGTTCGGAATTTATAACTTTGAACATAACCTGTCTTCAGAAGGGATAACATATAAATAACCCGTCGGGCACAGCTAATAGATATACTTCATTGGCAGCATATTCAGTAATAATTTTCTCTGATTTTATACACATGCAGATCAATACACATAATCATCCGAACACGATCTTGCTATTCAACTCAGAGCTAAAAACTACAGACATAGACCACTCGGCCTCACAAATCGTATGCAAGTAACAATGCTGGTAGTTTAGTTGAGTGATTCCTCCATAGATGGACGTTCACAACGATCCTAGTGAGCAAACGTGAAATGACGTTTGCGCGCCCTAAAAACTACCTAGACTGCAATATGACATCTTATAAGGTTTTTGAAGTTTTATAGGTCTTTTACATAATACCTGTGCTGTTATAAGTTCTTAAACCTTCATCAAAAGGAGATTTTCCCAATATCTTAGTTTTGAACCTCTCAATATAAGAATTGTCGTTTGATCTAATGTCATATGATAGATTACCAGCTCTCTTCAACATAAATTTTAAGAACCAAAAGTCATTTTTTTCAAAGGCAAACCACCGTTTTTTATATAACATTGAAACTTAGGTTAATTTTGTATAAGGTTGTCTACCTCGCAAATTAGTTCCGAGATATAAGGAAATATTAGTTTTTCCCTGTCCAAATGCTCAATCCGGCTTTGCCGACTCGGACTCCTAAGCACTTAATCTAAATAAAAACCAATATTTCCATATATCTCCAAAAATATTAATTTGCGAAGTAGAAAATCTCTTACAAAAGTAACCTAACTTCCAATGCTTATTATGATGAAATCATAAAAAATGGTGGTTTCAATTTGAAAAAATTGACTTCTTGGATTTTCTAAGATCTAAATATTGTTTTCTTTTTTGAACGATCCTGTAATATGTGTGATACAAATGTGGAATAATTTTTTTCAAAGTAGGTCCCTAACTATAAGAAATCCGTTACAAATCATATGGCAAATGTAAGAACAAGGCAAATGGTTGCGCGGTTACTGAATTGGCCAGATAACGGATACCAGATATGCGGTTTGTTACTTGGCCGGATAGCCGGATATGCGGCCCTCCAGATAGCTGACCAGATCGGAAAGGCTCATAGGTGCATTTTCCTCAAAGTGAGTATTCTTCCGGCACTAGAGAAAATATGCCCCCACCTACCAAGAAACTTATAAAACTTTCTGGACCTGTTTCAACGAGGTGGCGGAAGCTAACACCTTGGAGTATGAAAATGTCTCCCAAAAAATGCTATTGCCAGAGAATATCCGAAAACGCTAGAATTAAGAGTAGTGACAATCCACGTGCATGGTGGGCATTCAATTGTGAGCAATGTCCAATTTGGGCAAAATTTATCCAACATATGTATCTGGTCTCACTGTAGCAGCGTATACAGTGAGAGATCTTCTGCATCGAGTAGAAGCGAAACCAACACTTAGCCAGGAAACACAGAAACATTCGCATTGATAAGCCGCAATTCGCCAAATCAGTAAATTTTATTTAATAATTCAGTTATAATGCCTAATATCTCTGAAAAGTTCGTTTTGCTTGATATTCTCGTAGTAAGGACATTTTTACTCTATGATTTAGTTTGATCTTAAACCATATTTAGTTAAGTATTTTTAATACAAAAAAAAACGTCTTTTACTCATTCTACTTTATATTTGATGTAGTGTTAGAGAAGAAGCTGTGGCTATTTAATTTTACTGACTGAAGGCTGATTGTAGCAATAAAAATAAAGATCTTGTATTTTTGTTTTGTATTACTACTATCCTGCTTTCGCCTGATACCAAAGCTAATATTCGGTACCTTACAATAAATTGTATCCGGTTAAGCCGGAAGTTGGATAGTAATTGGATATCCGTTGCAACACTAGCAAAAACACGAGAAAACATTGTTATAATTCATTGGACTGCATTTGTCATTATTAAATCTGGAATAAAATCTACCAAGGTAGATTCCCTACAATAAGAAACCTATTGCAAATCGTACAACAAAGGCAAAAATACGAGAAAAAATGTTATAATTCGTTGGCCCGCTTTTTTGCTGCAGAATTTGAAATGTATCCATATGAATTAAACAAGCTAGTATCTGCTTCCGGTACAATCGCAAGTGCCACCATTTCAGCTGACTTGCTCTCATCAGTTATACTGAAAACCCAAATTTTCATAAATATTTTACGTCAATTTTTTGTGCAAACTGTGGTGTTTCATTGGGCCTAGAAAGTACTTTTCACTATTTATGCCCCTTATTAACAACCAATGACTACAAGTTAAGGGTTTGCTATAAAATGTTCACAGCAAAGCTTCAACAGAGCATTTCACTATGAATTCAAGTTTAAAGCACAGGAAATTAACTGTTATTATACAGTGTTAATTGCACTTTTAGTGGCCATTAAAATAAGTGTCAGACGACAGAGAGATCACACAGACTCGCCTTGCGCCTTGTCTCAAAATACTTTTCCGTATGCTAACATCTGTTCCTCTTGTACCGCGACGTAATAATTTATTCTCGTATTTTGACACATCATAGTCCCACTTTTCTTATTGCTCTTAATGTGTTTGTGTCATAACAAAAATAATGGTTACCTGTAGAGCTCGAAATTATGGGGCATTTGATATATCGCTTATTTTTTTTATAATGCAATTGAGAGACATAGTTGTGCTTTTGACAGTTTTATTGTGGAGGTATAGTATAGTAGGAGATAGAGTATATTGGTTATGTCATTTAACCCAGAAAGATGACAGCAGACAGTTAGGTTATGGTGAAGTTGTATATTTAGCAACAAATGATTGCCGAGTACAGCAATTTTGCACTACAAAAGTTGTGATATTGTTGCAGGTGTACAGCCTGTAACAGTTATTAAGTAGTTCCGTTGGGAGCAATTTGTCACATAACACCTACTTTATAAGGGAAACTGTAATGCTGAGGTTTGTCACTAAGTTTGTAGCGCCATCCCTGGGATATACTCCGAACCTTTTATAGAGCCTATACGAACTGTTATAGAACCATTTAAAAATTTAGAATACCTAGCGCCATCTTTGGACTTTCCTATTACACCGTAAAGCTAAATTTGAATTAAATATTCAAATTATATACAAGATACTTTAACTAATGTAAGGCTCAACCTGATTTTATTTTTGAAATGTGTATTTTTTTAATACAATACATAAAAATAACAGTTATGCAAGATGTTAATAATCTAAAAATAATCGGTTACCGATGTACCATCGCATGCATAAAAAACTGGAACAGCGCCTAATGTGTTATCAGAGATGCATCACCAGTGTGACAGTCCCTTGTTATCTCTTTATAAGGTCATCGATAGTTCAGGGGATATGCGATGTCCTTGTGTTTTCTGCACGTGGTGGTACCTATGTAAAGTATAAAATAGAATCTTCTTGAAAACAAATGAGCAATAAAATTCGCGATTAGCGATTTCTCTACTTCCTTCATGACTTTCGGACAATTTTCCGAAACCATTCCCAAAAAAAAAGAATTGAATTTCTTTATGTTTATAATGCTAGTTAAATTTTCCCAAAAATTGTGGAAACCGTAAATATTGTGAAAGTTTTTAGAACGCCAAAATGTTCATTTAATCCTGATTATTCACTGATTACACAGTGCATGTGCATGGTTTTATGTAAACAAAGTTATTACTTACTTGAAGATTGAAGTTCAGGAAGATGTAATCTAGGAAAAGCTGTTCTTTTCAGAACTCTCTTGGTTCCAGGCAATTTGATTTTCCGAAAAATGTCACACACCAAATGGCTTCTATGAATTTGTTCGAGACTTTTATTGTCCAAAACT